AAATTCCAGAGAGGTAGTTGTGTTCGTCTGTTCGGCTTCCCCTTCCACTGCTGCTGGCGTTGGATTAGGATATTTATATTCGCAAACTAATATGAATATTCCCCATCCCAGCTGCAAATAACGTGGGTCCAGCCTTTGGAACCAGCCCGCCCAATCACACGTTGCCACATGGCCAGCATCCCACTCTTCCCACCAATTGCAGCAGTAGCTCTGCCATCTCCCTGCTCGGCTGGCCACTCCCGGCAGGGGGCGGGATGACGAGTCTCCCCACAGGGCTGCTGAATGGCCAGGTGAGGAGGGAAAGGGTGGAGCTACTTTTGCGATTGGCAGGAAGAGCGGGACTCTGGCAGCATGGTGGCACATGAGTGGACAGGCTGGTTCCGAGTACCGGACCCACGTTAGTTGCGACTGGGACACAGACATTTGTATTGGTTTACGAATACAAATATCCCCATCTAGCACACAAAGCGAGAGAAAGCACACCGTCATGAAGGGCAATGGTTGGAAACTGTGGTCCCCTGTTTTCTTTTGTAGGCTAAACCAGTGTGGACAACCTTAGTGGACCCGAAGCCACATTTTCACTTCTAGGTATCACTGTGGGCCACTCTGGACCTCAACAAATAAGTCTGTGTTTTCAGAGGTGGGATTTTAAGGCCTTTTCCAAAATCCTCAGGACAAAAACTGCCTCTCCTAAATTATTTTGCCTCCCCCCCCCCATTTTTAACATGCTCTTAGTTGGCCTTGCAATCTACAAAAATGTCCCTAATGGGCTGCCTTGAACCCATGTTACACCATTGCATAGAAAAGCTACAGACTTGATCCACAGTTCCTCTTACATGCCATGATTTTTTCACTCTGCTGTTAACTGTTTTTTTTAGCCAGAGTCTGCTCTCAGAGAATAATACTTTACTAGTATAAAGTGGCCACTTAGGCATCCCAAACAAAAGAGGACAGCAGAGGGCAAATTTGCATATAAATGCCAATATAAATAGAGTTCTATCTGTGCATAAATACATAGGCTTAAAATCCAATTGATATTCCCTTAATAGATTAATAGGGTTTACATAAGTGCTGATTTTCCAAATCTCACTGATTTAATGGACCTGCTTCTTTTTTGGAGTAGTGATTGGATTTAGGCCATAATGCATGTGCCTAGATGGTAGTTTAGAAATTAAGCCATCTTGTCCTGAGGGAAGGAGGAGAACTGAGTGACTAATTCCTGACCCAGGCCCTATCCGAAAGGCAGACATCCAGAACAGGGAATTCAAAAGGGGAACAAACGAGTAGAAGGCTCAATAAGATGATGTGTGTGTGTGTTTAGTCGTTTAGTAAGAAGGCTCAATAAGATGATAGAATCATCGAATAATGGAGTTTGAAGGGCCCTGCATTGCTATTGGGTCCAACCCTTGCTAAGTGCTGGAATCCAAATCAAAGCAGATCTGACAGACATCATTCAAAGTGCTAGTTTATTTGGAAAAGACAACAAAGCGGTCGATGACAAGACTGAACTAATCTCACTATGTGTTCTATGTATTGTTTTCCTACTTCATACTCTGTTAACCAGAAGAAATAACCAGAATTCCCCAATATCTTGTACTTACAGGAAGAGGTTATTTCGTTCCCTTCTTGGATTAGGTAGATATAATATTTTCATTTCTCTCTTAATCATACGTTGATCTGCAGGCTTTACTGCCTTACGGCTGAGAACTCTTCAGGCTGCTTCGAAAACTCAGGACTGGTGGGCGTTTAGATTGTGCTAAATAACATTTCAAGCAGCTGCCCATTTCATAGGTCTTGGTTTTGCATGCCCTAGAGACTTCATTTAAAGGTTTAATGTTGTTTGTTTGGGATTGTATCTGTTTAGACAACTCTAGAGTGATTAGAATCATAACCTGCCTAGGAAAATCTCTGTATGTAACAAAGGGGTTGATGATAGCAAATGCCACCATTTTCTTCCCAGAATGTTGCTGAACTGACTTTGACCCATCCCCCATGTTCTTTATGGTAAACCTCAATAAATATTCAAATTAACTGCGCCAATAAATGGCCTTCACTCAGTGGGGTAGGAGGGCATGACCAGATTGTGCATTTTCACAATCTGTTGGCTCAGGCAGCTGTCCAGGTGCTCAAACTCTTGATGAGTGACCAAAACCTCTGCTGTCCCTTCCTTAAACCAGTCTTTGACTAGATGGCCTTGGAGAACACTTTAAAAAGAGGACTGCCCCCCCCCCGATCACCATTCAAATAAAGGAAGAAGCTCCATAGGAAATAAAGGAAGAAGCTCAAGCAGCGTTGCGACTATTTATTTATTTATTTATTTATTTATTTATTTATTTATTTATTTATTTATTTATACCCCGCCTATCTAGTCATTTCGACCACTCTAGGTGGCTTACAATAACTTTATTAGTCTCCAAAGTGCCAACAGACATTCTCAGCATTTGCAACGCTGTGGCAACTGGAACAGAGTCAGTAGGGGGGCAAGATTAGCCATAGCCCCCCAGGTTGAGAGGATATTAAATAACAAACCCAGGTTATTTCCGTGTAATGTGTGAAAGAAGCCTAAGGGGTCTTAGTTTCAGTTCTGCTTCCTGGGTAAAACATATCATTGAAACTGGATCAGCCTAGGATCCTTTGTTTCGTCTTGTCTTGTTTTTGACATTTACCACCAACTGAAGAGAGGGACGGAAACAGAACTGCCAGTCTGTGATCTCTGCAGTGGATGATGGATAATGTTAGGGATGAATTTTGTTCCCCTCATTTAAATGCAAGATGAGGAAGTGATTGTGTGATTTTATAAAATAGCCCAAAAGTCCTCGATACAAATAGTGAGGAAGTGTTTACTTTTTAAACCCATATGTTCCATTCAGATGCAGGATGACCTTCTAGAACTAGGATGTGTGTCTTTGCTAGCTTGGCATGCAGATGGCAGTCCAGGCACTTAATCTCCAGCAAGTCCAAATTTTTCCACTGCTTTTCTGGCTGAGTAGTAAATTGGGTGGCCATGGATACAAATATCAAAGTATTCTGGCTGTGATATATAGAGTGTTGTGCTGCAGACATAAAATCTCTCTCTCTCCCTCCTCCTCTCAATCTCTCAATCTCTTTCTAACTTCCGAACAAAGGATGTTCGGTACAACCTTTTCTATTATAGATGACTGAATTGTTCAATCACTAATGCAAGGGCAACTGTACCAGTTCTTTGGAAAAAGAATGATAGTATTCTCCTCTTTCTTGCTACTCCACTTCAGGCAGCACAATGTCTACGGCTAGGCCTGTCCAATAATATAAATGCCATGCGTGGTTAGAGTTACGTAGCATTTTTTTACCTGTCCAATGGCCTAGTGCAGAGCTTGTGAGACGAAACAGGAATAAGCACTCTGGGAAAGAGTAGCAAGGCAGAAAGGCAGAAAGAAAGAAAGGCAGAAAGAAAGAAAGGCAGAAAGAAAGGCAGAAAGAAAGGCAGAAAGGCAGAAAGGCAGAAAGGCAGAAAGAAAGGCAGAAAGAAAGAAAGAAAGGCAGAAAGAAAGAAAGGCAGAAAGGCAGAAAGAAAGAAAGAAAGAAAGAAAGAAAGAAAGAAAGAAAGCAGAAAGAAAGGCAGAAAGAAAGGCAGAAAGGCAGAAAGAAAGAAAGAAAGAAAGAAAGAAAGAAAGAAAGAAAGAACTTACTGCTTATTAACTAGGAAATGATGCAGGAAGGGGGGATAAGGATAATGCAGGAAGAATTAATGCAGGAAGGGGGGGGGGAAGGATCACTAAACTCTGTTGTAGAAGCCCCTGGAATTAGATTTGAAGGGTGCAAATCTGTTTCTCCCTAGCTACAATGGAAGAGCAAGAAGAAACACCAAATGGCCTCAGAAAGAGAAACATTAAAGAAGCATAAGAATATCAATCTAAATTTAGATCTAGAAAATGAGGGGAAAACACACCACCTCAGCTACATAACTGCTAGTTGCCCCTTTTCCCATTGGTTCCAATCATCTGATACATGTGTTAGTGCTGTTCAACAAGCATGGTACCTGATGTAGAACAGGCTTTATATGTATGTGTATCATGCCGACTGCATGGAAATCCCTGAACCTGGGTCCTGAGTGGTTTGGTTTTCGATTTTGTCTTCAGTACTGCCACCTACAGGTTTGGAGACGGGAAGGATCACACCTTGGGGACAGGCAAATTCCTAACCCTTACTCTATGAAACCCGGAGCCTGTTTCTCAGTCTAAGCAACTTCTGTCTGGTGGGAAGGCATGAGCTTAATCCCTGACTGCTGTTCTAGATCCTGAGCTCTGTTTGTTTTGGATTGTGCATCTCCTACCGGCCCTTCCCTTGGCCTTTGAGGTTGACCTTTCCCAAGACCTGAGAGGTGAGAACCACCGCACTACACTAAGCTTCAGAGGTGTAAAATAGCCATTAGGGCGCTTGGGGCAAGTGTCATCACCTCCCATCCATCTTGAGACATAGGCATGGGTCCCACATCAGAAAAAAGTGGGAAAGAATGTGACACAGCCGCCCAAAAAAAGATTGAAAAAGAAAGTTCATGCTTTCAAACAAAGGGAAGTGAATAGGCCCTCCAAGCCGTTGCCACTTGTTTTGCTAGCATTCACCAAGAGATCTGCTTCTAAGATTTTCAGGTCATCTAGATGTTGGTGCCAAAGCCCCTGTTGCCACATCGGAGTTACAACTCTGGTAAACTGGGTTAACTTTAAGCAATAGGGAAGTGCATTCATTTTGGAACAGGTTAACCCGAATAAACCCCATTTGGTTTGTTGCACATTTGTTCCAAAGCAGAAGCCCAAAAGCCACAGAGTCTGCAACTGACAGTTAACTCTTAGCATGGCCATGTTATTTCCTCAGAATGCCATGTCATGTTGGGGCAGAAAAAAAAGGGAAGTCGCGCCTTTTATTTCCTACACCCACACTCCCAAAATGCCCAAGAAAGAAAGGTCCTTTTGGTTATGTCATACAGGAAACGCAGGAAACTGACTAAAGAAGCTGGAGGGAGAGAGGCTGAGAGCCATTCCTGGCCTTTTGTGTGCTAGCCAGCCTGCTGCTTTGCTGCCAGAGCCTTCACTGCAGCAGCTAAAAGAGAGACAATCGTCTGTCTAGAGAGGTTACAGCACAGCACACATTTCAACCAGCTTTACAGGCATCCACAAAGAGAAACAAGGAATAAAATGTATGCATTGGCAAGGCAAGTATGTACTACTTTTTTTCTTTTCTTTTTAATGCTCACATTCATTGTGGATGAGGCCGGAGGAGGAAGGGAGAAATTAGCCAGGGAAGGCAAATGGAATGAAGAGGAAAATAACAGAGGAAGCAAAACAGGGATGGCTTAGGCAGGCGGCAATCCTCCCTACAATTATGGGGGGAATAAGTCTTTGCCTGCTTTTCCAAGTGCATGAGCAAGCTGTGCCCCTTTGACATGCAAAGCACACCTTCTGGTTTCCTGCAAGTAAGTGATTGCTCAAGCATTCATGCACCAAGATTGAGCTGTGACTGCTGCTTGTGTTAACCCAAAAAAGGAAGGAAGGAAGGAAGGAAGGAAGGAAGGAAGGAAGGAAGGAACGTCGGTCAGGATGCCTAGAGGATTTCTGAGGGTTCCTGCACCCTGGAGTAATTTAAGCCAGTACATGATGCCTTCCCTGTGGAGCCAGGTGTTGGGAGTTTAATTCCCCGCCGAGTCTCCTGGGAGAAGAGCCAGCCTGTGTAGCCTTCGGCAAGCTGCACAGCCAAGGTGCCCCTAGAAATAGGGAATGGTAAACCCCTCCAGTGTATTCTCTACCTAGAAAACCCGGAAAACGGTTGCCATACGTCAGAATTTACTTGACAGCACAGGATGATGATGATTCGCCCACCTCTGGGGCTTCCCAGAGGATAATGGTCTCCATGCTGTGATGAACTCCGGTGTTGTCTTTATCAACAAAGTGAGGTCAAGCTGCTTTTTGTTGTCATATACTATTATCTAATACGAATGTCCTGACATACAACCATTTTGAGTTATGACCAGCTCCGGCCGCAAAATTTTGCTTCGACTTGCGGCCAGAGCTTCCAGTTACGAACAGAAAAAGGCAGGAAATCCAAATTGCTAACCATTGGTGGTGAAGAGGCTGCTTCTTTGTAATTCCTTCACCCCAATGGTTAGAAGGAGTGCGATCGGAGGAGGCTGCCTGGTAAGGTAAGGTGCTGCTTTCCGCTTTTAAAAAACTGTTCCAGATGGGTTTTGCAGCGTGGTTTTGGGCTGGGTGGTGGGATTATGATTCTATGCTTTGATGGATCTTGCAGGGCTTGTTTGTTTTTTTGTTGTTTTTATCCCCATTTCTGATGGGTCCTGCGGGATTTGTTTGCTTTTCTTTTTTTTCCCCTTTGGCTGGAATAGATAAATTGCATTTCCAATGGGTCGTGCAGTGGGTTTCTTAAATTTAAATCTTAAGATTTTTTTTGGTGATTTTGTTATTTGGCCAGAATTAATTAATTGCATTTCAATGCATTCCTATGGGAAATGGTGCTTCGACTTACAACCAATTCAAGTTATGACTGGAGTTCTGGAACCAATTAAGTTTGTAAGTTGAGGCACCACTCTATTACATTCATATTCCTTTTCCTGCCAGGCTGGCATACACTGTCCTCCTCAGGGATGTGACGACTTCTCAGCAAACCCTGTGGGATTTTGTTCTCAGCAATCCCTGCGGGATTTACCGACATTGTTCCCTCTGATATACTCCCACCCATGCAATGTAGTGTCCCATCCTGCACAAGGTAAGCCACCACACTACTATGGGCTATGCCACATCCTGCACAGGATGAATCACTGTACAGTACTGTGCAAGATGGGGGTGCCTATGTGCATCTCCTGCAAGGAGTTGTTGTATCCAACGCACCACCTACCACAAGAATGTGACATTTTTCTTTTGTGCAAGGCATGCTGTGAGGCAGTTGAGATGTCTTACAATCTTTTCTCTCTGAGGATCCCTTGAAGGAGGAAATCTTGAAGCCAGAAGGGGATTTTTTTTGGGGGGGAGCTATCCTTCTTGAAGAGAGCAACATGCAAATTCCCAGTCTTGACTTCAATTTTATTCTCTCAACTCCCCTGTGAGGCAGGTTAGGTTAAGAGACAGTAATTCAATGAGATTTTGTAGCTGCTGGGTCATAAAAAAAACCTGGTTTCCTGAGAGTGTGTGGTAGGACCGTGGGGAACAACCCATAATGGAACCAAAACCACAGTGAGATCAGCATTAGTCCATGCCTGAAGTAGGAGAACCAAATTGTCAAAGGAGTGGATACACCCCAAGTGTAATGGCAGGCAGCTGCTTCTGCCAGGTTGACAGAAGACTCAGAACAGATTATTGTGATTTCTGGTTAGCTCCAGTGGTCATTAACATTTTTAAAGGAAGTTATTTGTGTCAAGCTCTTGTTTCAAGTTTAGAGACAGACAGACACAGACACTCTGCTTTGACAGCAAAGGGCTCTAACAACATAGTGCTGTTTAATGCAAAGAGCCTCCCTCTCATACATGGCTTACAGACTTGAACCACTTTGTGAGTGATTCCCAGAGTTGAACTTAGGCAGGGCTGAGCTCCAGGGTTTAGCAGTTAAGCTATTAGCAGAATTCACTTGGACAGCAGAGAGTCAAAGAGGTTTGGTATGCCTCCATGGGTGGAATAATTTGTTAGGAAGATCCCTGATCACATCTCCTGCTCTTAAAGTTAAGTTAAGGAGGATCCATGGACAGAAATCAAATGGACATAAATGAAAAAGGCATTAATAAATTACTTGACATAGTATGGGAAGAAGTTAAAATATCACAAAAATTATTGTCACGTAGAACAAAAACAACTTAAATGTCCACCACCACATTCATCATCACCCTCCAGATCAATAAAGAAGAAAGATTGTTCTAAAGCAATGTGAGTCCAATATGCAAAAAATAAGCTTCTGAAAGCTTAACCTTTTAAAAATCATAGCTCAACAACATAGATGAAATAACTGAGATCCAGGAATTCTAAAATTACATACTATCATGAGATTTATATTTATTTATTTATTTGGAGAGCCAGGCTGGTGCAGCAGCTTGAGTGTTTTGACTACTAAGTCACTAAAAAGCATGATGATAACAATGGCAATAATGATACTTCAACATATTTATAGTCTACTTTGTCCAGCAAAATTTTCACTGAGGGGATTACAAATTATCAGAGAAATATAAAATACATAATCACATCATGAAAACACAGTGACGTTCAAAAAAGCAACAGCAGTAGCAGCAGCTAAAATCTGTGAAGCAGAATGTGTCAAACCAATGGTCTTTTACACCTTCCTGAAAGTCAGCAAACAAGAGAGGACTCACATTTCAAGGGGGGGGGAAGCATTCCAAAGATGTGGTGCCACCAGCAAAAAGCCCCTGTCCCCGATACTTGCTGGCCTCATAGCTAGCTCTTCTGTGTGAACCAGGAAAGAAAGAGTGCCTCAGACTTTGACTTTACGGCTCATCCATAACAGTTGCAAGTGGCCTTCCAGATAACCTGCTTCCCAATTCTGTAGGGAAGAGGTGGTGTGTGGACCCCATGTAGCTCCCATGCAGGTTTTAGCCCCCTGACCTTCCTCTTCTCTATCAGGTCACCAAAATCTGGTTGTGCAGTCGTAGTAAAAAGTATCATTTTCCCTGTGGTTTTGTCACTACATTTGAACACATTTCAACGAAGCCAAATTACTCTGTAAACAATGTGCTCTGTAAAAGTGCCCTGTAAACAATGCCCCCCCCTTTTTAAAGCAAAACATTTTTCATTACTGTGCAGGGAATAGCAGTCACAGCCCTTCCATGGAAAAAGACACAACTCCTGTCAACCCATCACCTTTGCGAGCGTTCTTCATTTCGGCAGTATGATTCAGGCCATGGAACAGTCAGGTGGTGCTGCTGTGGTTAAACAATCGGGCGGGGATCCTTGCCAATGTAATCAAAGTGAGAGATCTCTCAATAGATCCCTCGCTGCAGGGGATACATCACCGCCAATGCATTTTTCCACACGCTGAGGATTAGAAATGAGAAATCCAGTTCAATGTGTGACTAACCAACTGTCCAATATAGTGGATACATGATTAATAATGTATGCCCCAATCCATCATCTTGTCTTCTGTTAAGTGTAGCTTTCACCTTGCTGGACGGTTGCCTTGCACCTCTCTTTCCAGATCCATTTAGGGCTGGTAGACAGCTTAAATGCCTTGGCACTGTTCTCTGCCTCTCTGTAGCTGCAAGAGGAAGCCCCCATCCAGTCAGTTTGGCACACCAGAAAAATCCACAGAGAACCAAGCAACTGGCAATGGGGCCTACCGAACACTGCCCGAGAGAACTGAAACAATAGCCTTGGGTGTTATATGGGCCAGGCATTTTGGCTTTTCCTCTGCCCACCTTGTGCTTCTGCTGATATCACAGAGGTCAAGCTCAAACTGAATGGACTTCCTTGCCTTTAGATTTAAATTAAAGCCCCACAGAAGGAACGGCAACTCCGAAGGGGTCAACATGGAATGGGCAAAAGATGAAGCCTTTGTTCCCCTGCCAACTTTCAATTGGTCTCCACCCTGCTCCCAATATGTGACTTTTTAGGGCCTAGAGTAAAGAAATTGACTGTGTATTAAGATATATTTGCCTCTTCTTTTTTTGTCTGACTCAAATTACAGGGATAACACTGATTTGTGGTTTATTCTCCTGCATATCTCTGTAAATAAAATGGGAGGGACCTAACAGAAGCAGAAGACATCAAGAAGAGGTGCAAGAATACACAGAGGAATTATATCAGAAAGATTT